TCCTAATTCATTTATTCATTCATCACTTATGTATTGAGGCTTCTGTGTGGTTGGCCCTGCTCGCGTTACTGGGAGTACAGTGTGGGGATAAACAGTTCCTGGCGTCATGAACTTAGATCTCGTGAAGAAGGGAAATGCTAAAGGAAGAATCACACAAAATTAAAATTTGCAATTAGTAAAATCTCTTCTGAGAGGTACATGGTGCTAAGAGAATCTAGATGGGGGGAGGGATTGATTTAGTCAAGGATGTTCAGGCTGGAATCCGAAGGCTAACTTGGAAGGAGTTAACTAGGTCCAAGGAGTGAGAGCTGGGCCTGGCCAGAATGGGGCAGTGAAAGACCACTGAATGTGGGATAGAGTGTGAGAATAGGGAGAGGTAGGCAATAGTTGAGGTAAGGATTTGAGACTAACCTCAGTGTGGAGAAGCCTTTGAGGATTTTTCATTATTTTGTGTTTTAACACATCACTCCAGTGCCAGTGTGAAGAGTGGTTTGGAGGGGGCTCAGAATTTGGGCACTAGGAAGCTCCTGTAACAGTCAAGGCAAGGTAGACCAGTGGTGGTAGAGAAGAACACTTTTTAGGAAGTAAAATGGACAGGACATGATGATGGATTGGATGAAGAGGGAAGGCCAGGGAGGTGGCAAGTCTGACTCTTAGATTGGAGGTTAGTGGGGATGCATTTATAGACCTCTGGAGCACTGAAGGAGGCCCCTGAGGGAAGTAACTAAAAATGGATGATAACTGTAAATGTAAAAGCTAAAACTATGAGTAAATTTCTAGGAGAAAACAAAAAATCTTTGTGACTTAGAGATAGGCAAACATTTCTTGGGACACAAAAAGCATGAACCATAAAAGAAATGATTTCATAAATTGAACTTCATCAAGATTAAAAACTTATTCCTTGAAAGACACCATTAAGAGAAGGAAAGGGGCCAGCACCCATGGCCTAGTGATTAAGAAGTCCAGCATGTTCTGCTTCAGTGACCCAAGTTTGGTTCCCAGGCACGGACCTACACCACTCGTTGGCGGCCATGCTGTGGTGGTGACTCGCATACAAAACAGAAGAAGATTGGCACTGATGTTAGCTCAGGGCAAATCTTCCTCAGCAAAAAAAAAAGAAAGAAAGAAAATGAAAATGCAAGCCACAGATGGGAGGGAGGATTTGTAATACAATATATCTGACAAGAGACTTATATCCAGACTATATAAAGAACTTTTATAATTGAATAAGAAGACAACTCAATAAAACAATAGGCAAAAGGTTTTAGTAAACACTTCACCAAAGAAGGTATAAAAATGACCAATAAGCAACAAAAACATGCTCAACATCTTTAGTCATTCAGGGATTTGCAAACTGAAACCACAATGATATACCACTACACCCTCATTAGGATAGCTAAAATTTAAAAGACTGATGAGGGGCTGGTCCCATGGTGTAGTGGTTAGACTCAGTATGCTCTGCTTCGGCAGCCCAAGTCCATGGGTTCGGATCCTGGGCACAGACCTACACCACTCATCAGCCATTCTGTGGCAGGAACCCACAAACAAAATAGAGGAAGATTGCCGCAGATGTTAGCTCAGTGCTAATCTTCCTCAAGCAAAAAAGGAAGATTGGCAATAGATGTTAGCTCAGGGCTAGTCTTCTTCAGAAAAAAAAAAAAAAAAGACTCGTGACCTAGCAATCCTACTCCTACTCATCTCTTTAACTATACTTAAGCTCCAAATAAAGATGATAACAAAGTCATACTTCCATCTGACATGATACAACTAACCTGCATAACCAGAAACACAGCACTATCCCCAAAAGAGGATCCAAAGTCCTTGGGTGATGTTCCCTTTCCTCTTTTCACGTCCTGTAGCTTAATACTGTGATATAAAGTTAACTAATAATACATCTCCATTGGGTAGTAGCAATCAAATTTCTCCCTTGGTAATCAGGATAAGTCACCCCAGCCAGTACAAGAACTCCCTTCTTTACGTGTTGATTTGGAGGCATGAGATGTGCAAAGTGACCAGGCGACAATCTCAACTTCCAATTCGATGGAAACATTGTTGTGTCTTCTGGTGGAAGTGTTCTTCCTTTTGGAACTAAGACCTCTAGACCAGCACAACTTCTGGCCGCTTCTCCTTCTAGGCAAAAAGAACAACCAGGTGTATTGCTTGAAGTTCTGCCAACAAGGAGGCTTCTCCTTCAGTGTTCTTCTTCTAGGATATCCCAGAAAGAAGCTGTGCTGCTGCAGATGTCCATTTTCACCCAGGGTCTACGTATTGTGCAGAACCATCATAAGCCAGGCTAGAAACCAAGACCAAGTTTTCTCTCCCTCAGTCGACTGGTTGTAGGGAATGCCCCATGAGATTATGGCTGTGGGCTGAGAGTGAGAAGATAATATAGTGGGAGTAGGGGCCATGGGCATTTGGGGCACTTCCTCATACAATTTACTTATGCCTTCACGGCCCCTTCAAGCCCCATCTGATATATACCACTTCAATTTGATAATGCAGTGCTGCCTTGTATGCACAACTTTATAGCCTGGTGGATCAGACAACACCCAGTTCGTAATGGGCAGCTCAGGTCACAAGGTTAAGAGTTCAGTCTCTACTAAGGCCAAATGCTGTTCTTAAAAGGAGAGTAGTTATCTGTGGTAGATGGCAGGGCTTTGCTCCAAAGTCCTAAAGGTCTGCCCTGTGATTTACCTGTGGGGGCCTGCCAAGGACTCTAACAGCATCTCTATCAACCACTTGCAGAAAGAGGCTCTGGGTTTGGTTTTCAGAAATCTTGGCCCTAAGGGTTTCTTTCAAGGTAGATATAGAGGCTTTCAGGTCATGTATACATGGCTTCAGTTAGGAATTTGAAGCCCTGAGCTCATCCTTTTCTTTCCCCGCTTTCTTCAGTACAATTAGGAGCAACCAGACAATCCCATCATATTTCTTAGTTTGACTAAAATATTCTAAGGTAGCAAATGCATGGCCACTCAGGACGTCACTTTCTATGTGTATTTGATTAAGAGTATCCAATGCCTCATCATACCATGGACTACCAATGCCCTCTTTAACATCGTCGTTAGTGCCCTTAAATCTAACCAGATTAGAGAACCAATTCAAGAAAATCCAGAACCAGTTCAGAAAACTCATCCTTAAGATTCCGTTCCTCTAGAACAACTTCCAGTACCAAAATCTGTATCAATCAAGGTTCAAACAGAGAAGCAGAACCAGTAGGAGACATATAATCAGAGGTTTATTTCAAGGAATTGATTTATACAATTTGGGGTGGGGAGGAGGACTGGTTAAGCAAATCTGAAATCCATAGGACGGGCTATCAGGAAGATCAGGTTGAGACTCAGGCAAGGGCTGAAGCTGCTGTCCCAAGGCAGAAGTTCTTCTTCGGGAGAACCTGAACTCTGCTTTTCAGGACTTTTCACTGGTTAAATCAGGCCCAACCAGATTATCCAGGATAATATCCCTTACTTAAAGTCAACCAATTATGGACTTTAATCATATCTACAAAAAATGCCTTCATAGCAGCACTTAGATTAGTGTTGAATAGTGTAGAATAACTGAGGACAAGTTATTCACTTCAAAAAGTTAACACCTAAAAAAAAACTATCACATAAGTATTTACCTAAGAGAAATGAAAACATATGTCCACACCAAGACTTGGAAAAGAATATTTATAGCAGCTTTATTCACAGTATCAAAAAGCTGGAAACAACCCAAATACCCATCAACAGGTGAATGGATGAACAAAAATGCATTAAATCCGTGAAATGGAATACTACCCAGCAATTAAAAGGGATGAATCACCAACACACTAAACAATGTAGACAAATCTCAAAATCATTATACTGAGAGAAAGAAGCCAAAAACAAAAGAATACGTACTGTATAATTCCATATAAAATTCAAGAAAATGCAAACTAATCTATAATGACAGCAGATCAGTGGTTGCCTGGGACCAGATGTGGAGAGAAAAACGAGAGGTAAAGAGGCACAAAGAAACTTTTGAGGGTGATGAGAACGATCTGAGTCTTGATTATGGTGGTGTTTTCATGGATGTATACATATGTCTAAACTCATCAAATTTTACACTTTGAATAGGTACAGTTTATTGTATGTATAGTACTTCAATCAAGTTGTTATTAAAAAAGAATTCATTTGATGGGATTAATAGCAGATTGGAAACAGCAGAACAGAGGTTTAATGAACTGGAAGACAGGCAGCAGAAAGTATTGAGATTAAAGTACAGGCAAAAAAAGGAGAGAAAACACAGAAAAGAGCAACCGAGATATATGGGACACCCCGAAAGGTGGTGCTGCAGAAGAGAGACTATATAAAATGGGAAAAGATATTGGTGTGCTCTTGTTAAAAACATTATATAAATGATTCTGTTTTGGTGAGGCAATAGCTAGCATTCAGACACCCAATTTTAAGAGTGTGGAAATCAGAATATTATTCATTTGGCAAAATTCAGTAACATCGTGGAAGAACATTTATACAGAAATCAAATATCAGCACCAAAAAACTATTACACGTTACTCAAGGGATGAAATACACAAGATTTTTTTTTAATGTTAGCAGGTGCCATGAAAAAAATATTTTGGGATAAGGTAAGAAGTGCTTAATATTACTCGTTATTTTAGAGTCAATACCTAATGCATGTATGTAGCACAGATAATAATTATGATTAGATTTGTAGGTTTCTAAACTCAAATACTTCTATATGTGAACATTTTGGAGGATTTTTGTCATGTTGGGGAAAGATTATTTTAAAATTTTAGTAAAATTCTTACAAATACTGAACTCAACAAAAATAACTTAAGGGGCCAGCCCAATGGTGCAGTGGTTAAGTTTTCATGTTCCACTTTGGCAGCCTGGGGTTCGCTGGTTCAGATCCTGGGTGCGGGCACGGCACCGCTTGGCACGCCATGCTATGGTAGGTGTCCCACATATAAAGTAGAGGAAGAGTTGCGGGGATGTTGACTCAGGGCCGGTCTTCCTCAGCAAAAAGAGGAGGACTGGCAGCAGATGTTAGCTCAGGGCTAATCTTCCTCAAAAAAATAAAATAAAATAATTTGAGAAGCCAGAAATATGACAATGGTGCAAATATGTGGGGAAGACATTGCAATAGAAGATCTTTGAGAAAAATTATATGCCATTCTATATTTATTTTTTTAAGCATTCTTTAAACTTGATAGTGAATACAGTCAAAATCTCCTTTGACATTAGTGAATTTTAAAAATATCTTCAAAGAACTGTATGAATGCTTTTCAGCTTCGGTTAAACATTCGAGTGTATTGAAAACACCCTGAATATAAATTTGAAACCACTGTTAAATATGTGATGGGAAAATTGAGTTGATACTATCATGCCAGTAAAAACTCAGTTACAAACAATGTATAATGATCTTTTTTATGATGATATTAATAAAGAATATGTGTTCTAAAATACCAACCAAAGTTATACTTTCAAACATATTCATGTCTAAATTTATTAGATTGATACTGACTTGGCATGATGCTTTAAGTAAAATTAATGGTTTAAGCAAAATGATACAGAAAATTCAATGTTCAAAAAAATTCAATGTACATAATGCTCTTGAAAACCTCAAAGGGATTAAGAAATTCTTTGAAGAAAAACTAAATGATGATGCTTATAAAAAAATAGATTATTGATTTTAAAATGACATGGTACCACTCATCAAGCAATGCTGAGGCAGCATCCCACATGCCACAACTAGAGGAACCCACAACTAAAAATATACAACTATGTACTGGGGGGCTTTGGGAAGAAAAAGGGGAAAAATAATAATGATAATAATAAAATAAAAGGTTACAATCCGGAAAGAAAATAATGATCTTTTCAGTCTTCTAATCTAGACCCTTACTATTCAAAATGTTATCCCTGAACCAATAGCATGGGCATCACCTAGGAGCTTATTAAAAGTGCAGAATCTCAGCCCCACTCCAGATCAATGTAGTCAAAGTCTTCATTTTAACATGACCTCCAGGCAATTCATTTGCTTATTAGTTCGAAAAGCACTAAACCTGATGACATATGTAATTTGAAGAATTACAATGAACATGAACTACAACAACTATTGAAAATTTAAAGCTGGCCCCATGGCCTAGTGGTTAAGTTCAGGGCACTTTGCTTTGGTGGCCCAGGTTTAGTTCCCAAGCACGGACCTACACCACTCATCAGCAGTCATGCTGTGGCAGCAACTCATGTACAAAATAGAGGAAGATTGGGGGGCCAGCCAGGTGACATAGTGGTTAAGTTTTCATGCTCCACTTTGGCAGCCTGGGATTTGTGAGTTCAGATCCCGAGAGTGGACCCACACATTGCTCACCAAGCCACGCTGTGGCAGCATCCCATGTACAAAATAAAGGAAGACTGGCACAGATGTTAGCTCAGCAACAATCTTCCTCAAGCAAAAAGAAGAAGACTGGCAACTGGTATTAGCTCAGGGTGAATCTTCCTCAGCAAAAAAAGAAAGAAAGAAAATTTATAGTTGAAATTGACTAATGAACATTAGTTAGTGATGACGTTGATGGGAAATGAATGCAGAGGAACTAAAAACCTTAAGCTATTTGGTAAAATCTAGCGCAACTTCCGGTAAAGTATTGCAATATTTTTGCAGCAATAATTCATCACATTTCAAAATACTCTTGTGTCTCTCAGTGTGTGTTTAACTTTGTTAACATGGGTAACCAGTAAAGAATGTAGCTTCACAAAACTAAAATTTAGTAAAAACTAGTTAAGATCTAGAGTGACCAAAAAGATTGTCACATCTAGTGACCATGATGTACTGGAGCAGGTAAGCATTGAAACTGTCTTGAGGCAGATTGGATTGGTGGTCACCAGAGGGGAAGAGGGGAGGCAGGAGGGCAAAAGGTGTGATTAGGCACATGTGTGTGGTGATGGATGGTAATTAGTCTTTGGGTGGTGAACATGATGTAATCTACACAGAATTCGAAATACATTATGATGTACACCTGAAATTTATGTAATGTTATAAACTAGTTACTGCAATAAAAAATAAATAAAAACTCAAAAAAATAGATTTGCAAGGAGTTTGACTTTAAAAAAAATAATAAACTGTCACAAGGAATTTTATTTCCATGAAAGCAAGGCAAGTAACTGTTGTATAGCAAATTATCATACGCGCGTGACTTTGAATTTCTAATTATGGTGCTAGTCATTCTCCCTCACCTTAGGGCCCTTGCTTCTGCTGTTTACTGTGCCTGGTTCAACTTCGTCTCTAAATCTGCTGAGCTTTCATGTCTCAAATGAAGTGTCATTTCCTCAAAGAGGACTTCCCTGATCCCACAGACAAGGTCAGCTTCTCCCATCACATATTCAAAGCATACTGAACTTCCCCTTTCTTAGCCCAACATACATGTAAGTTCCTCCTTAAACATCTGCTTTCCTCTCTGGACTGTGAACACCATGGTCCAAGGACTTTGTCTCTGTCATTCTGAGCCCACTGACCCTCCATGTATCTTTAGGTGTTCAATATATGTTTATTGGATTAATAAATGAATACATTGTAACCCTATTCATATTAAATGAAGCGTGTCTCTGGCATATATTTATACAACGCATTATTCTTTTTAGCAAATTTTTACCTCTGGTATCCCATTTGAGCCTCCAAAGACCACATCCACCTAGTGAGGTTCTCTCAGCCCTTGGAACACACAGGATGTCTCCTGCCTCCTAGATACAAGCATGGGCTACAGAAGGATTGCCTGCCTCCCCGTCCTAACACTGCCACTTCAGACCTGTGTCTTGGGCAAGTCACCTCACCTCTCTGTGCCCCACTTCCTGTGTTTGTACTTGCCTCATGGGAATACTATAAGGAGTAAATGAATATATACGTGTAAAGCACTTGCAACATGACCTAGCACCTAACAAATGTTAGCTATTTTTACAGGAGTACCACGAAGATCAAGAATGTTGGGGCCAATATTAAAGATTAGGCCTCCTCAATATTATGTTGTGTGAAAATGAAGCCAGACCCAAAAGACCATGTACTGTATGATTCTGTTACATGAAGTTCAAGGACAGGCAAAACTAACCTATGATGACAGACATAGATCAGAATAGAGGGGTCGGGCGTCAGGATATTGACTGGGAAGGGGTACACAGCAGTCTTCTTGGGTGCTGGAAATGTCCTGCATCTTGATCTAGGTGGTGGTTACACAGGTGAGTATGTAGGTGTAAATGTAGTCTTAAGATTTGTGTGATTTACTGCATGTAATTTATATCTCATTTAAAAATTTAGGCAGAAGTAAGGAATTGTCACCAATCTTCTTTTATCTTGGAGTAGAAGATTTCCCCCAACTCCTTCTCTGCCTCCCACCAAGAACCTCGAGGGGAGCCTTGATGAGTTTTAATCTCCTTCCCCTTGTTTCTCTTGACACTCAATAAACCACAGATTCCTTTCACTGACCTAGCCTTAACCCTGAGAGGGGTAGGATAAGGCCCTGTTCCGGGAATCCCAGCAGGTGAGGTGGGGTGTGAGTACAGATAGCCCTATCCACAGTGTAAGGACTACGGCCCTCCGTGGAAATCAAACATTGCCGGTGGGACAAGGCCTCAGTGGCAACTCTCATGGTCCCCACCACATCCAAGCAGAGCCAAGAGTGTAGTTGGCTCCAGCGGAACAGAACTCTACAGCCTCCCTGCTGGGGCCTTGTGGTCAAGATTGCTGGTGGTCAGATCTCAGATCTGTTCGTCTATTTTGATTTCACGTGATAGAAATCCAAAGCAAATAGGCTTCTGCCAAATCACAGCAATTTATTGGAAGGATGCCAGTGTATTTACAGAACATAACCATGGAAATAAATGCCAGGGCCTCAGATATGCCTGGACCCTAGGGCACTTTCTCCCTTCTCTGCTTCTCTTAGCTTTATTCTATCAAACAGCTTTCTCCTCACAATGGAGAATATGGTTGCCATCAGTTTCTAAGCCCCACACATGGTAGCCTCCCACTAGAGAAAGCCTACAACCTGCTTCCCTTAAATCCAGTCCAGAAACTCTCAGGGGAAGGGTCTGATTGGCCCATTTTGAGCCCAGTGCCCACCCCTACACCAATCAACTGTGGCCATGAGGGTGAAACATTGTGACTGGACACCCAGTAGAACCACCTGGTGGTTAGAAAGTAGAAAGAAACAGGGCCCCAAAAGAAGGTATTGTTCCCAAAAGTAGAAAGGGTGCTGAAGAGGGCAGACAATGATGGAACAGAGAGGGCTGCAACTTAATCCATGAGGCCTGGTCTGTTACTCTCCTAATTAAATGTAACCTTCTTAGTCCCCATTGCCCAGACTCTAGAGATAAGGCCAGCAGGGACCTGCCTTTGAGATGCAACCAGCTCAGCAAGTGATCGGAGGAGACTCCAGAGAAACAGTGGTCCTCTCTCAAGGCAGGACACTCAGCTCCATCAACAGGTGCAAGAGAGCAGTGGAGCTCACCCTGCTGGGATCCCAGAGACCGGTCTTTAAGCTGCCGCCAACACAAGCTGTGGCCAAGTGCAAATCCCCTTCCCTCTCTGGGCCTCGGTGTCCTCCTCTGTAAAATGGGAGAGATGGAGCTAACTCATTAGAGAGAGAGCAGAGTCCCTGAATGCCCAAATTGGCCTGCATTTACATCTCAGTTCTACCATTAGCACTGGTGTGCTCTTGGGGATTATTATTATTTTTTTACTTTTTATTTTGAAAATAATTTCAAAATTACAGAATATTTGCAAGAACGAGTCAAAGAACTCCTGTATACCCTTAACCCAAATTCTGCAATTTCTAACATGCTGGCACATATATTTAGTCATTCTCTCTCTTGTTTTTTTCCTGAACCATTTGAGAACACCTTGCATACATCACGCACCTTTACTCTTCACGGTTCAGTGTTTCCTAAGAACAAGGATTTTCTCTTACACAACCATGACACAGTTACCAAATTCAGTAAACTGAACATGGATACAATACCTCCTAATCAACAGTCCGTATTCCAATGTTGCCAATTGTCTCAGTGTCCTGGTAGGTTTTTCCCCTCTGGTACCAAGTCCAGTCCAGGATCAGGAATTGCATCTAGTTATCAGGTCCCTTTGGCCTCCGTTAGTCTGGAACAGTTCTTCAGCCTTCATGACATTGTCATTTTATAGAAAGTCTCTGAATGTAGCTTTGTCTGACATTCCCTCATGGTTAAGTTCAAGTAATGCATCCCTAACCGGGATATTCTGTAAGTGTTTTATCCTTTTAAGGGCAGCACACATGGAGGCACGGGATATCTGACCAAGTCTCCTTGGTGGTGTTCATATGGGTCACCTAGTCAGTGTCGTGTCTGCTTTCTCCATTGATTAGTTCCTGTTTTTCCCCTTGCATTAAACAAGCTGGGGGGAAACACTTTAAGACCATGCCAATGTCACGTTCCTCACCAAACTTTCCTCCCTCAATTCAGCATCAGTTGACGATACTTGCCAAATCAATCTTTACTGTGATTGCTATAAAATGATCATTTTTCAACTCGACTTCTTCCTCCACATTATTAGTTAACGTTTTAATATAAGGAAGAGCCCTCCCATCTCCCCTCTTTACTTATTTTCTATTTATTGTCAGTATGGACTCGTTGATTCCAATTTTATTCAATGGATTGTATTCTATAATTATAATCTATAGTCTATTTTTTATTGTGGTAAAGTCTACATAACATAAAACTTACCATCTTAATCATTTTTAAGTGTATAGTTGGGTGGCATTAAGTCCATTCACATTGTTGTGCAGCCATCGCCACCATCCACCTCCAGAACTTTTCCATCTTCCCAGACCGAAACTCTGCACCCTTTAAACAACAACTCTTCATCCCCTGCCCCTCCAACCCCTAGCAACCACTATTCTACTTTTCTTTTCTTTTTTTTTTTTTTTGAGGAAGATTAGCCCTGAGCTAACTGCTGCCAACCCTCCTCTCCTTGCTGAGGAAGACTGTCCCTGAGCTAACATCATGCCCATCTTCCTCTACTTTATATGTGGGATGCCTACCACAGCATGGTGTGCCAAGCGGTGCCATGTCCATACCTGGGATCCGAACCAGCAAATCCTAGGCCACCAAAGCAGAACGTGCGCACTTAACCACTGCACCACCAGGCCGGCCCCTCTACTTTCTGTCTCTATGATTTTAATTACTTTATGTACCTCATATAAGTGGAATCATACAGTATTTGTCTTTTTGTGACTAACTCATTTCACTTAGCATAATGTCATCAAGGTTTATCCATGTTGTAGCATGCATCAGAATTTTATTCCTTTTCAAGGGTGAACAATATTTCATTGTGTGTATAAATGCTAGTATTATGGTTATCATTATTTCATACATCTCGTCCAGCTCTCACATGTAAGGATCCTATGAATGGGAGAACACAATGAGAAAAAAACTATAAAAATATGCCCCATTCTTATTTTCAATCCCCAGGCTAAACTGACAGACAAGGGGACACCGGGAAACGTAGATACTGAGCATTTAGTGGGTACTTACTATTTGCCAAGCAACTTTACATGCATTTACTCATAGCGTCCTCACAACACCCTCCGTAGTAGCTTCTGAGAGCCAGTAGAGTCTCCTTCAGTTGGACTGCATGGTTTGAATACTAGCCTTGCCACTTACAAGCTGTGTGACCTTGGGCAAGTTATTTAACCTCTGTGTGCCTCAGTTTTCTCATTTGTTAAAAAAATAATAAAATGGTTTTTGTACCAGTCTCCTAGGGATGTTGTGTGGATTAAGTGAGTAAAGCACATAAGACAGGGACTGGCACATAGCAAGCATTTTGTTTGCTTATACTATTTTAGATATGCGAATACTGAAGCACAGAGAGGTTAGGTCACTTGCCCAGGCTCACACAGCTGGGAAGTGGCAGAACTGGGATTTAAACTCATGTCTTCTCTGATGACAGACAGACAAGTGCGTAGGCAACTACAGAGGTACAAAGTGCTGTGACGAGAGAGAGCTCGGAATCCATGGCAGCCCTGAGGAGGCCTTTAGGCAGTTCTGGGGCAGGTCTGGAAGGCTTCTTGGAGGAGATTGTACCTGAGCTGTGGCCTAAGGATGAGCAGAAGTTTGCCAGGTGACCAGGTGAAGGAGGTGGAGGAAAGCAGGGATCATGTGCAAAAGCCTGGGGGTGGGATAGGCTGGGGCGAACTGCAAGGTGTTTCCAATGGACGGATCATAGAGTGTAACCTGGGGTGTGGCAGCAGCTGAGGCTTACCACAGACCACAGGGGCAGAAGGAACCTTCACACCCTCGAAACCTCTCTATTTTAGTAGCAGAACTCTTTCAGATAAAACCTTACCGTGATTCCTAGGACAGGAAAGTAGAGGAGCAGCAGGTGGAGTCGGGATGGTTCTCTGGGCCCCCCTCCCTCACATCTTTGGGGAACCCCACAGGGCTGCATCCCTCCTTTTACAGATGGAGGGACTGAGTGCCAGAGGGAAGCGACTGGCCCACCACTCCTAGGCTGAAGCCAGGACATTGGATTCCCAACCCAGAGCTTTTCTCCTCAGGACCTGTTGAAGCTTTTCTGCCAGATGACAGCTTCAAAGAGCGCTGGGGAAAGGGTGGAGGGGCAGGCCTTTACCTCAGAAAACCACAAAGCACCCCCTTTCTGGGACTCGGTGCTCCCATCTGTACAAAGGGGAGTGCTGGGCAAGATGACTTCAAAGAGACTGTCCTTCCCTGGATCCTGAGCCACGGCCGGGCCTCAGCCCTTCTCAGGGGAGCCCCATCTCCGAGCCCCAGATCTTAGGCTCTGTCCCTCCAAATCCCACTCCTAGTCTCGGAGGGGGATGGGGGTGCCCAAGAGCTGCCAGTGAGTGAAGCCCAGAGGCTGAGCAGAGATGAGGCAGCTGGCTGGCCAGAGCCCCAAGTGATCCAACCTGGCAGCCACGGTATTTTTGGGCCTCTGTGCTCCTGCCCCTGGGCTCGAAGCAGATTAGAGAAAAGCAAAAATGGAATGACCTCTGCACAGCCTGACATTTCCCCCAAAGGGAAGAAAGACTTTGAGAAAAAACTAAACAGCCTTTGCTTTCTTTTTGCTCCATCTTCTCTCAGCAGATAGGAGCAAGATCCAGACTGATGAAGAGGTTTGAGGGGCATCAGGAGGGCCCCTCACTCCTGCAAATATCGCATTTGGCCGAGGAATTTCCTCCATCTGCCCTCACAAACTCATGCATCTGCTTATGTCGCCCTCTGCTTAGGGCCTTGGATGACCCCCCAACTTTCGTAAGTTGGACTTACGAAAGCCTCTGCAACCTGGCCACACTACCCAAACTCACCCTAACTCACCCTAACTTGGTGCCACCGACTGACTGAAGGGACACTTACATTCCAGGCTCTACTCTCAGCACTTTCCAATATTGACTCATTTAACCCTCAAACAGCCTCACTTTCACCAATGCGAGAACTGAGGTCAGAGAGAGATGGAGTAACCTGCCTGGGGCCCTAAGAAGCAGAGTCGGGACTCAAACCCAGGCAGTCTTGCTCCACAGAACCAACTCTGAACCTGCATGCTATGCCACTTCTCCAAAGTCTGATACCCTTCAGGGTGTGGGACACTCAGAGCCAGCCCTTTGAAGCAGCCCCAGCAGCCCCCACGATCACTAAGGTCACCCATGCACAGTGGGAGCCTGTTGACCCAGAGTAATTACTAATGCACCAATTGCTCGTCCACCCCATTCATCAGCTGCCTCTGACCTGCTCCTCTAGGCGGCCCTGACAGTGGTTCTGGGGACTTCTCACACTGCTCCTCCTCCAATTCCTCCAAGTAATCTGAGTCCAGGCTGAAGTTCTTACACAATTTTGCTGAAGACCTGAGGGAGTGAAAGAAAAACTGAAACCCAGTCAGCAGACATCTCTGCACTGGCCATGTCCCTGCCCTGGAGAACCCTGCTCTGGGGGCCCCTTCTGGCTGCCTCTCTCCTTGGCCCTTTGCCTCTCATTTTAGGCTGAGGCCTTGCCACCAGAAAGCCTTGTTTTCATCCCAGAGTCATGCCCCAGCCAGAGCCAGCAAACCCACAGAACAGCCCGCCGTCTCCAAAGATGCCTCCTCCCTGCTCCCACAGGACACAGCAATTAACATTCGGTTCCTCCGGGGCCAAGGTTTCTTCCTTCCAGAGGAAGGCTTTCACTTCATCTGAAATAAGTGTGTTCCCAAGTAAATAAAACAGTATTGCCCAAAGAGTAAGTCTAGTGCCACTGAAGAAATGAGCTCCGGGGCCAGCCCCATGGCTGAGCGGTTAAGTTCGCGCGCTCCGCTTCAGCGGCCCAGGGTTTCGCCAGTTCGGATCCTGGGCGCAGGACATGGCATCGCTCATCAAGCCACGCTGAGGTGGCATCCCACATGCCACAACTAGAAGGACCCACAACTAAGAATATACAGCTATGTACTGGGGGGGCTTTGGGGAGAAGAAGAAAAAAAAAAGATTGGCAGCATGTTAGTTCAGGTGCCAATCTTTAAAAAAGAACAACGAAATAGGCTCCTATTGAGAATGACTTTTCCCCTCCATTCCTTGCTGAAAACACAAGTAACAACTGTAATGACTGAGCAGGATACTCTTGGGGCACAATCACAGATGTTTGTCTGCCATTATCTCTTTAAAACGCATTCAGTGGAGGGAGCTCTACCTCTGTCCCTGGGTGAAAACTTGGACTCTCCCAGGGCTTTTCACATCATTCCCAGGTGTGATCGTTCATTTTATTTGTCAACTTGGCTAGGCCACAGAGTGCCCAGATATTTGGTCAAACAATGTTCTGGGTGTTTCTGTGAAAGTGTTTTTAGATGAGATTAACATTTAAATCCGTGGACTTTGAGTAAAGCAGATCACCCTCCATATTGTGGTGGGCCTCACCCAATCCGTTGAAGGCTTGAACAGAGAGACCAGCCTCCCTGGAGCAAGAGAGAATCCTCCAGCAGACGGCCTTTGGACTTCATCTGCAATATCAGCTCTTTCTGGTTCTGAGACAGCCTTTGGACTGAAACTGCAACATTTGCTCTCTGGGTCTCAGCTGCCAGCCTGGCTTGCAGATGTTAGACTTCCCAGCCTCCATAATTACATGAACGAATCCTTATAATCTCTCTCTATATCCTATTAGTTCTGTTTCTCTGAAGAACCCTGATGCATACACCGGATTAAACAAACAAACAGCTCTATATTCATTTTAGGTTCTTAAACACAGCCTCAGTTCAGAAGTTAGAATGGCCAGTCTGGGGAGCAGCCACAGCTGCCAACTGTTTGAAAAGTTACAGATGGCCGCTCGCACTGCTAGAGTGTGGGTGGATCTTTTTTTCTCCTCCCCACCTTAAAGCCTGACAAATAAAAATGGCAAGCAATAGGATATATTGGAATATATGAGGAAGCCATTTGGTCTAAACCTAATTCGGCCTGACCTTGTCTTTCCAAAAGGGCCTGACGAGGCCGTTGAGCATGCATTGTATATCTGCTTTAGAGATTCCCTACGGCAAGAGCAAAAGGCCCTTGAGATAAAGGTGCAACTTCCCTCCCCCTCCCAACGTTGGCATCTCCTTAAGGATTAAGCATCTTAGGCTAGAAACTGATTGCTGTGCTCACCTGTGGCCGCCCAGCTCGAGACAATAGACTTGCCTCCTGCTACGCCTTCCAAGATAGCAGACCCACTACCTGCTGTGTCCATCAAGTGCTGTGCCGACAGGGCAATCTTGTGACTATTGTGGGAGGGACATTTCAATCATATGTAAAACACCCTCTTTGAGGGTATATAACCACCTTGTGTACCCCCACTTCTTTGGAGTGCTCTGTTCCTTTGTGGAAAGACTCTCCCGGGTTGTAATCCTAAGATTTAAGCTCAGAATAAACTCACCCAAATTTTCGTTTATAGATTGGGTATGGATTATTTTCATCGACAAGGCTCCTCCTCCAACTTGCTAAGGTTGGAGAGGGGAGGGAGGGAGGACAGGTAAGCAGCCTTACCTGACTGACACTCCTATGGGATGGTTTTGTCCTGACCCACGTGTAAAGCTGATCCCTCCCAGGTGGTGCTCTCATGGATTCTGGAGGCCCACGGGAACATTCCATTTTACCTTTTTGATGTGGACAACGTTCACTTCCTGCTGCTGACTCTCTCCTCAGCTCCCGTTTTTACTCTTCCCTCCCCACAACCTGGGCACAAACCACATCGACTCTCTGAGGTATCCCGTCACTCCCCCAGGTGTCCTCTGGGGCATGACCAGGCCTGCCTTCCTGAGGGACCCACAGCTGACCTGCGGGAAATCCTCTTCTGTTTGCTCATTCCCCTGACAACCTCGGGGAGCGAGGCCTCCTTCCTGCTCAGCCACCTCTCTGAGGCTCCCTTCTCCCACCTTCAGGTTTCTAAAGTGGGAATCAGAGGCCAGGGCCAGCATCCCCCATCCTGCAGGAAGCCCATATTTAGCTTCCAAATGGTCCCGTCGGGGCCCCTCACCTGGTTTCAGGTAGGGGTACCCTCAACTCCTGCCCTGGGTGGGTGGGGCTGAGGGTGGGGAGAGTCAAAGTTCTCCTCTCTCCAGGCAGGTTCTCCTCACAAATGTCTTTCCTCTCCAGTAACTAGATCGTCAGACCCTCAAGGCCGCTGAGACACGTTAGGGCCTTATCATGGGTTTTTGTCTATTTCCTCTCCACATTTGCATCTCGGTTTGAAATGTCTTACCTATTTTATGTCGGTGACTCAGTAGGAAGTTGCAATTTAACACTTTGTTACACGCACACAGTTACACATGTGGGAAGAGATGGAGGACAGTTTATGCCACTGAATTATTGAGGGGAAGAGCTCTGTGTGTGTCTGGACAGGGAGCAGACGGGAGAGTTGACTTGGGGGTAGATGTTGAGGGTCCTGGACTCGCTCGTTCCAGTGCCCTCCCTTTTCCCACTGCACCTCTAACTACTTCCCTACCCCAACCCCCAGCTCCCAGCTCAAGGCGAGAGAAGGTATGGGAAGCTGCTTTGTACAACAAAGAAAGAATATGAAAGGTAATGGTAGTGGAGGGAGAACAGAAGTAAGGGGAAAGTGCGCTGTAGAACATGATGAAAGATGACCTGACACCTTAAAACTGTCTCTCTACCCCCAAAGCCTGAGAAAGTTCTTCTAAAACTCACAAGCAGGGGCCAGGCCCTCCCCTGTCAATGGACGCCAAGCCCCTCTATCTCATCCCTTCTGCAGGGCTGGGAGCTCTGCAAAGGCAAGGTGGGCTGGTTCTGTCATGGCCACCACTCGATCCCCCCAGAGGGGGTGACTAATAAAGGTCAGATGAATAAAGGTCAGGAGCCACAATCAGGCTCTAGGGTGGGCTGTGATTGCTGACCTATGTGCCCAGCACTCCCCTAGGATAAGTGCATGCCACCCGTGGGGCCAGTGTCCTTGCTTGCTAATATAATGAGGGCCTGTCCTCTTTGTCTTTCTCCCCAAGCTCAAGGGTGAAGGACCTGGACAGTCTGCGCTGAGGAAAACGGCAGAAAGAACTGAAGGAGTGGGCTGTTTGGCCTGGGGAAGGGACGCCTGTTGGTGGAAGGAAGACTCTGGGCAGCTGTGGGGCACCAGCTCTGCTGGCCTGGCATTAGATTCCAGGTTCTGGGGGGGAGCACTTTCTCATGGTTGGGCCTCTCTGTGTAGAGATGTGCAAGCAGGAGCTGGGGGACAGCCTTTCAGGACAGTCCAGAGGAGATTCTCAAACTGGGCAAGAGGTTGATCTCAGTTAGGGTCTTCTGATGAAACCCCCAGAGCCTGGTGAGCTCTAGAGATTCACCTTGCAGCTTGTTAAAAATCCGTATTCCTGGGACAGACATCTAGAGTCTGATTTATGAAGAGATTAAGGTGGGAAAAGGATCTGTAGTTTTAAAAAGCTCCCCAGGTGGTTCCGGTGCATAGTTCTAGATTTACGTCTCTGTGGCTGCAAGTTTTAAGTTCCAGAGGGAAGAAGTCGTATTTTATACTTCACTGTGTCACTTCAGCACCTAGCTGAGGACTCTGTATGTGGTAGGTATTCAAGAAATACTTGTTGAAGGGCAGGAGGGAAGAAGGAAGAAAAGAAAGAAGAAAGGGAGGGAGGAAGGAAGGAAAACTTTTGTCATTAAAACAAGAATCAGCAGATTTAGAAGCTACTTCCCCTGGTGGACAAGAATCCAAATTCTAAATTCAACCAGCTTTGAATTTTGTAGGGAAGGGAGTTTTGGTCCTTTTGCTTAAGAATGTGCCCTCAGTGGTTGCAAATTCAAATGTCTTCAGAGGCTGAGCAAATAATATAAATATGATAGGTGTAGAGTTGTAAGACATAGCAAATTAAAATGCAGGACACCTTGTTAAATTTGAATTTCAGATAAATAACAAATACATTTCCAGTGTACGTATATCCCAAATACTGCATGGGACATATTTATATAAAATATTATTTGTGGTTTTTCTGAAATTTAAATTTAAATTGGATGCCCTGTATTTTATCTGGCAACCCTAGATGGGGAGTTGAGTGAAAATGGAGAAGCTTGTGCCCAATCTTTTCCTGCCAAAGACTTTGCTTCATGTATTTTGGGCTTTGTTGTTATGTGCGTATATGTTAATTGTTATGTCTTCTTGCTGGATGAAGGCTTTTATCATTATACAGTGTCTTGCTTTGTCTCTAGTAATAATTTCTGTCTTAAAGTATATTTTATCTAATAGTTGTATAGCTATCCTAGCTTTCTTTTGGTTTGCATAGTTTATCTTTTTCTACCCTTTTACTTTCAACCTATTGTGTATTTGAATTTTAAGTTTGTCTCTTGTAGATGGATATAGTTGAATCATGTTTTTTCAATTCATTCTGCCAATCTCTGTCCTTTGATTGGAATTTTTAGTTCTTTTACATTTAATGTAATTACTGGAAGGCATGATTTATATTTGCCATTTTGCTATTCGTTTTCCATATATCATATGTCTTTTTTCCCTTCTATTCTCCCATTATGCCTTCTTTTGTGTCAAATAAACATTTTCCAGTGTACCATTCTAATTCCCTTGTTGATTTTTCTTATTGTATATTTTTTGGAGTTATTTTCTTAGTGCTTGCTCTGGGGACTACAGTTAACATCTTATAACAATCTAGTTCTGATTAATAACAACTTAATTCAATAGTATACAAAACTTTTGCTCGTATACAGCTCTTTTTTCTCCCCGTCTTTGTCCTATTATTGTCATACAAACTACATCTTCGTATATTATAAGCCCATCAATACAGTCTTATAACTGTTGTGTTATGCAATTGTCTTTTAAATTAGCTGGAAGAAAAAAAGCTACAAACAAAAAAATACGTTATAGTACTTTTATACTAATGTCTATGTTTAACTATGTAGTTACATTTATTGGTGCTCTTTATTTCTTCACATGGATTTGAGTTACTTTCTAGTGTTCTTTCATTTCAGCCTGAAGGACTCCCTTTAGATTTCTTGTAGAGCAGGTCTGCTTGAAATGAATTCTCAAAGTTTGGATTTATCTGAGGGTGGCTTAATTTCTTCTTCCTCTTCTTTTTTTACCCTGAAATATTTTTATTGTGGTGAAATATGTATAACATAAAGTTTGCCATTTAACTGTTTTTAAGTGTACAGTTCAGTGGCATTCATTACATTCCGAGTATTGTGCAACCATCACCACTATTTCCAGAACTTTTCACCCCCCCACCCAAAATTCTGTACCCATTAAGCAATAACTCTCCATGTGTGTAAGTATACATCACATTTTGTTTACCCATTCATTAATCAATGGATATTTGCATTGTTTCACCATTTGGCTACTGTGAATAATGCTGCAGTGAACACTGACATGTAAGTATCTGCTTGATCTACTTCATTTTTGAAGGGTAGTTTTGCTAAATATAGAATTCTTAGTTGACAGTGTTTTTCCTCTCAGCACTTTGAGCATGTCATCCCGTTGTCTTCTGGCCTCCATGGTTTCTGATGAGAGATCAGCTGTTAAGCTTACTGAGGAGCCCTTGCATGTGATAAATGTCTTCTCTTTTGCTGCTTTCAAGATTCTCTCTTTGTCTTTATCTTTCAACAGTTTGATTAAGATGTGTCTATGCGTGAATCTCTTTGAGTTTATCTCTTTGAGTTTGTTGAGCTTCTTGGTTGTGTAGATTACTACTTTTCATCAAATTTGGGACATTTTTTGCCATTATGTCTTCATAGTTCTATCTTCCCCGTTCTCTCTCTCCTCTCCTTCTGGGACTCCCACTGCACGTATTTTGATGTACTTGATGGTGTCCGCAGGTCTCTGAGATGCTACTCACTTTTCTTGATTCTTTTTTCCTTCTATTCCCCAGATTTGCTAATCTCAATTGACCTATCTTCACATTAGGTGATTATTTCTCCTGCCAACTCAAATCTACTGTTGAGCCCCTTTGGTGAATTTTTCATTTCAGTCACTGTACTTTTCAATTTCAGAATTTCTACTTGGTTCTTTTCGTTTGTTTGTCTTTACAATTTTTATCTCTTTATTGATATTCCCTATTTGGTGAAACATTATTCTCATACTTGCCTTCACTTCTTTTGACATAGTTTCCTTTAGTTCTTTGAGTATATTTAAAATAGCTGATTTAAAGCTTTTGTCTCGTAAGTCCAAGGTCTGGCCTTCCTCAAGGACAATTTCCCTTGGCTCCTTTTTTTCCTGTGTATGGGTCATACTTTCCTGTTTCTTTGTGTGTCTTGTAATTTTGTTGAAAATTTGGCTTTTTAAATATATAGTGTGGCAATTCTAAAAACCAGATTTTACTCCTCTGTAGGGCTTGTTGTTGATGCTCATTATTGTTGTGACTCTGTTGTTTGTTTGTTTATTGACTTTCCTGAACTAATTTTGTAAAATCTGTATTCTTTGCTGTGAGTGGCCACTAAAGTGTCCGCTTAGTCAGCTCAAGGGTCAACTAATGATTAGACAGAGATTTCTTTAAATGCCTTGACACATAAGCCTCCTAGCCTTTGATGAGAGGCTCTGTATGTGTTGGGGCATGCTTTAAATGTTCCATCAGGCGGTTTACAACACTACTTTAGCCTTCACTTTCTGCTCAAGCAGAGCCTCAAGGTTAGCCAGAGGTGAGTGGTCAGGGCCTTCTCAGGCATTTCCTGGACAAGTGCACAGCCCTGCACATGGATATGGCTTTATAGATCCTCAAGAATATGTTGGAGCTTTTCGAAGCCCTCTATGGACAGACATCTTATTCCTCAGTTTTTATTTTAAATTTTTTTGTCAGCTTCTAGTTTGTCCCATCTGTTATCACTGCCTCAGGCAGCTTTGGTGTTAAACTACTCTTGCTGATTATTTTTGACAAATGCCCCCGGGGAAAAGGCTGTTCACGCTGACTGAGCTCTGAGTCAGGTCAAATAAAGACAAACTTTGGGACTGGAGATTTACAAGGAACTTCCAGACAGATCAAATACCGACAACTCTCTGGGGATAGAGATTTTTAGGGAGCTCCAAACCTTTCTTCCTTTTCTGGTGGCTGCTAAGTTGCTGGTTTTCATGGCTACCATGATGGTAAAACTGTTGGTCTTCAAGGCTATTGCAGAGCTGGGCAGAGGGAATGAGATAGGATAAGTTAAAATGCCACAAAGCTCACAGTTCTTACTGAAATTTAGTATTTTTTTCTTTTTTTAAAATAAATGTTTCTTAGATTGTTGTAAGTCTTTGGTTAATTTCCAGAGTACTGAAAAAGTTAATTTGCTTATTTTTGCCAGTGTTCTCATTGGTCTTACAGAGGAGTAGACTTTCAGAGGTCCTTACTCCACCATTCCAGAAGTGCTCTCCCCTCCCTCAAAGACTCTGAAATTCAAAATTTAAAAATGTGCAGTTCAAACAAGAGAGTGTGTAGACTGAGATGGTCTACGGGCCATCAGATTTGCAATCTCTGACCAAAAAATAAGCCCTCTAAAAATATTCATTTATTTGTACAAAGTCATAACACCTTGCGGGGGGGGGGGGGGGGGGGGTCAGTAAACACTGATTTCATAGAGTGTGGTCCTAAGATTCCCTATGATATTCTGGTTGTGGTTTTCTCTCCTCCTGTCTCCTACCTATCAGACCATATGCATGGCCGTTGGCTGGTATCCACAACACTTTTGGCTATTCCAGTAGGTCTGGCCCCTGCTCCAGGACCTCACAGCCCAGGATTTTTCTCGGGGTCCCCAAGGCAGGCAGTGAGAGGGCTGCTCCCTGAGGAGAACACTGTTCCAGGGGAAATGCAGTGGGTATGGAGCCTGGCAGAGTCCGAGATCTTTTCTTGGGTAGCTTCTCATCATTTGACCAGGGATCAAATGAGACAGATGGCACAGAAATGAACATAAAAGAGATGCCTTTTGGATGCTACTGATTGATCAGACACTTGGGCACATCTCCCTGATTTATGAGTGAGTATGTGACTGTATAAGTGTTTGAGAGTGTGAGCATGAATGTTTGTAAACACATGTGTAAATATGTGATGTGTAAGTGTAAGTGTATGTGAGTGTGAGTAATGGTGTTTGAGTATGTGAGCGTAGGTTTGTATGTATAAATATGTGAGTTTGAATATGAACGTGTGTGAATGTTTGAGTGTGTAGAAGCATATGGCTGTGTATGTAAGTAAACATGTTGAGTATGTGTGAATGTGTGTATGAATGCTTGTGTGCATGTATGACTGTGTGAAATATATGTGTATGTATGTTTGAGTGTATGAGTGTGTGTGTGCATTACTGAGTGTGCATTTAAATGTATGAGTGTATAACTGAGTGTATGAGTATGTATGTTTGAGTGTGTGTAACTGCAAGTGAGTGAGTGTATGAGTATGTGGATATAAGTGAGTGTGTAAGGTATGAGCACATGTATATGTGTGTGAGCACATGAGTCTGAGTGTGCACATGTATCAGTGCGTATATGTATGTGAGTGTGTAAGTGCAGAGGGTATCTGCAGGTCTGGAGAGGCAAGTAAGTGGTTGATCACAGCTTGGAGAGAAAGCCCTGGTTCTCCCCTGGGATGCACTGGGCAGGTGTCCCCATGCAGGGAGTAGTAGGTCACACATGTCCGTAGTTCAGCTGCCCAGTGCCAGTGCCTGTATTGGGCCCTAAGGGTCCCTGGCCTTCCCTGACCCCTGTCACTCACACCCCTGAGGGGCAGGGGAGCGCTGCCCGGCACTGGTCCGCTTGCTGTGGCTTGGTCTTCCCCTCAGGCTTGAGGAGGCCTGGAGTTTACAGCTTCCCTTTGCCCCAGAGCTTGCTATCTTGGTAATGCAGGTAGAGCACCTCTTATTGGCACCATCAAACTTTTCCCATTGGCCTCGCTGCAAAGGCTAGGAGGCAGGAAAGGCAGGTGTGTTCCCGAGGTTGCTTTTAAAACCCCGCTCCTATTTGAGGAATAACAGGGTAGCTCCCATGTTTTAGAACCAGAAACTATGCTGAGGGCTTTGCCTGTATTACCTTACCCAGTCCTCCCAATAGCCAGTAGTAAGCCCCGTTCAAACTCAGACAGACCCGACTTCAAACAGTGATCCTGGGAGGGGTTAGCTGTGTGACCACAGAAACAGGAAACTGGAACTGGGAAACTGACAGCATCCCCTCTCAGTTCCCGTTACTTATCTGGAAATGGTTGCTGGGTTTCCTCTGGAGGGCTGGCAGCGCTGTTCTCATGATGCAGGCCTCCACCCAGCCCTCACCACCCGGCAGTTCTCTCCCTTCATTTTTCTCCATCACGTAACCCTGTTTATTTCCTTGATAACACAATCTGTAATTATCTTATGCTTTTATTTGTTTGTTGATGTTTCCACCTCCAGACTTCGCTGAGGCAGGAACTAAGTCTGTTCTGGCCATACCTGAATCCACAGCATCCAACACAGTTCGTGGCATGCAACACTAGTAGGTGCGCAGTGAGTAACTGTTAACTGACTGAATGAACTCACCTATATGGACAGAGGTAAATATCTCTTGGAACCAACTACCCACTGGGACCTCCCCTTCACAAAACTCAGGTGTGGCATTTGCTGTCGTGAATTTTCGAATCCACTGCTGCTAAGATTCGTCACACGTTACACGTCGATTATTTGAAAGCTCCAGTTCTTGGTCCTGGATCCATAATCCACACAGCCAGGAGGGTTCTGGCTATTTCTGGAACTACAGTGCCACCTACTGGCTGCAGATAGATCTGCAGCCT